CTTCCTACTTTCCAAATTATGAATAAGCGAATATCAGCTTGAGAAACACACCAGATGGCGATGGCCGATCAGTATATAGCAGCCCAAGCATCACTGCAAAGGCACAGTCTTCCAATTCTTTGCAAGCAATCAACTCTTCAAACGTTTCTCCGATGTCAACAATGCACAATATCAATATTGTTCGTTCCTTCTGTTTCGTGGTACTGCTAGCGACATTCGCCATGACATGGCCAATGGGACAGAATGGTAATGATGAAAGCTCAAGCCTCAATCCGCAAAACGACATTCGTTCTCTGGTCGAGCCGTTTGATTCGGGCGATTTTTGCAACTATCAGGCTATTTTTATAGGCAACTGCATCGATGGCGGCAAAATCTATTGTAAAACCGGTTGCAAATATCATGGCTGCCCGTTCCATAGCTGCATTGATCTTCCTGATTCACCTGCTCGTTACAACTGCACTTGCTACGAACCATAAGCCAGGTATTTTCAAGATAGGTTTTCCTTTACGGTTGCTGCCGAACTATAATGTTCCTTTTGTCGTTTTTAGATGATATGGCATACACCCTGTACACATTGACCTTCAAGATTCTATCTCGCACAATCGACATTCCGCGACTGATTGATTCCACTCTTTTTTTCATTATATCGTCACCACTGAATTTGAATAAAATAGGCATGTGTGTAAGGTGAAAGAAAACTCACGATAAGTTTGCACCTCCAGGATGAGACGGGTGGTATACTATTCTCGTAGTATCATATGCACCGATTGTCAGATTCACTCTCAAGACGATGGATGTCGTTCAAAAGACATGATAATTGCTCAATGTGGGTGTGGATGTGAATATTATACTTAGCTAACGCTCACGGAAATCCACCCATCTGATTAGTTTTTATTTTAAAAAAGATCGAAATTCTCAAAGAAGGAATCTTTTCTCATAGATACGTATTGCGTATAAAGAAACAAAGAACGTGATTAAAAGTGAGTCCTGACAAAGCAGATTATTTAACAGAGTCAAATAAAAAAAGACAGCAAACTAATCATGGCTTATTCATTGACGTCAATCATTTATTGACGATGATAATTGATATCTTATTTTTATTAAAACACGTCCGATGATTAATACAGATTTTCAACAATTCTTCTTTCTCTTCATCACGTTCTTCTTCACTAAAATCAAAGATTTTCTATAAAATCAAAAACAAATCATGTCAAATTTAAATTTCATTCTGTGTTTTTAGAATTTTGAAAAGAATGAAATTCAATAAACTATATCAAATTAAATCATCAATTTCTTATCTTACCTGCGATGAAACCTTCGCTAGAACACTATTTTTTCTCTTTATGTGTTATGTTGGAAGAACTGAATGAGAGAAATATATAACTAGAGAGAAAATCTACAACGAGTGTCATTTGGTTTTCATCGAAGACAAAGAAGAAGAAAAAGAAGAAAATTATTTTATTAGTTAACTAGTTTATCAAAAAATATCTTGTTGAATGATGTGGAATATTTATGTATTTATCATTATTTTTTTCCTGATTCTCATCAATGAAGCATCAGGTAACTACTTTTATTTATCATATACTGAACATCAGCTATTGCACAAATGACATTATTCGTTAAGTCTATACTATAGAACGAAATACAAAAACGTCAGTCTCGACGATTTTCACAACTTTTCCCTTTCCACAAATATTGAATAGCGTTTGAGTGTTTGAGTGAGAATATAGATGGCAATGAGATTTAGTAGGCTTTTGTAGCCGATGATAACGGTGGCATTGGATGAATGAGATCGTTGATAAAGATGATGGTATGTAATTGAAATGATTTAACATCAATAGATTCACACTGCTTTTCATATGAAAATGAGAATTGATTTTGAATTCCAAAGACATTTTGTTTAGATATCAATCAATTTCAATGAAGTCATTTTCATCCTAAGTAATTCTTTTTTCTTCCTTCGAATTCATTTTCGTTGAACAAATAAAAAAGATTATTTGATTATACTTTTTTGTTTTCAATGATAATCATATATTTTCGAAATTAATCTTAACGAATTTTTCCAATAAAAAATATGAATTAACAATTTTGATTTCCTTTATAGTTCTTTTCTAATATTGTTTATATTTTTCTCGGTTTAGCTCTTTCATTCAATCAGCCAAAGTTTTCTCCAACAGCCACTTGGAATTCCAATGGAATTACTTTTGCTAATCGATCGATTGTTGGTCAAGCTCTTATGGCCGTTTTTGTGAACACAAACAACACAATCTACGTTGCTAATAAAGAAAACAACACAATTGTAATATGGCAAGAAGATAGTGTCAATCCAACAAAGACCATTCACGGTAATTTTACAGGATCTCGATCTCTCTTCGTGACATCAAATGGTGATATTTATATTGATGATGGCGAGAAAAATCGTCGAGTACAGAAATGGAGTGCAGAAACAAATACTTTTGTCACAGTGATGAACATCAACTCATCATGTTGGGGTTTGTTTGTTCACATCAGTGATACTCTTTATTGTTCAATGCCTGATCATCATCAGGTAGTGAAAAGATCATTAAATGAATCTGTGATGACTTCAAATCATGTTACTGCTGGAACAGGTATTGAAGGATCAGCTTCGAATCAACTTGCTAGTCCTAGTGGAATCTTTATTGATGTGAATCTGGATTTATATGTGGCAGATTGTGAAAATCATCGAGTTCAGTTGTTTCACTCTGGAGAATCAAATGGTATCACAGTAGCTGGATATGCATCACTATATCCAACAATTACACTTAATTGTCCAACTGGAATTGTATTAGATGCTGAGAAATATTTATTCATTGTGGATCGTAACTATCATCGCATTGTTGGTTCAAGCTTGGATGGTTTTCGATGTTTTGTTGGATGTTATGGAGTGGGCTCACGATCGAATCAATTGCGAAATCCATTTAGTCTGAGTTTCGATCGTTCTGGAAACATGTTTGTTACTGATTCATTTAATAATCGAATTCAAAAATTTTTTTTGATGAAAGATTCTTTTGGTAAGTTCAAAAAAAGTTGAATGAAACGAAAAGATGTGAATAGATGAGTAAAAGACGTTAATAAAGACATTTCAATGTAAAAAACGAAAGATAACAAAAATGATTGACAAAGATTAATTAAATCAATGTATAAAATAGTGTGTCTAAAGAAATGAAATATTCAGATTATATAGAACTATGAGTCAATTGTCCAAGCGAAACAATCTTCGCTTTTTTAATGAGTTTATAAAATAGAGAAAGAAAAGGTTCTGTCCTTGATGGAATGTTATGAAAATCTTTGATATTTTATTTCATTTATTTCAAAAGATATTTCATGAATGAAACAGTTTTTATCGATATAAATGCTCTTCATATCTTTGTCGATATATTTTTAACATAAGTTATTCTATGATTAGACTTCATATTTCATATTTCTATATATCTGATTCCAGAAAAATAAGACAAATAAAATGCGACAATTCTAATAACTATTTTTTCTTCTTTTTTATGTGAGAAGTGAATTAAATCAGTGTTTCTTTCTGAGAGAGATAAATTTTCACATGAAATATTATAGAAAATAAATTTTCTCATAAGAAATGATTGATTAATGATTTGTTCTTTCGATATTTATCATAGTATTTAACTGGGAGAGTAATATTGAATAGTTGAAGACTATCTGTAATATAATATTTGTAATTATTAATAAGAGATATGTTATTATTTCTATAAAAGAAAAAAGTTGTTTATCTGATAAAATAAATAATATCTCTTGAGATGATTTTGAATAAAAATATTTATTTATTTGTTTAATCAAATTTATTTATTTAAGATGATCAATAAGAAAATTTGATTTTCAATCAAATCCATTCGAGATTTTTCTTCAATCAGAATTTTTGGATAAGTAGATTAACAGAATTTCGTTTACGTTTCTGAACTTTAATCAGAAAAAAATTTTTTGATTGATAAAAGATTTGTTAATCTTACTTTTTCTTGAAAATGTTTAGTTAATGATTGTTTTCGTTTCAAGAGAATTATTCATTCTTTTCACATAAAAATAAAGATTTTCTTGTTTTGTTCTTTATTTTATAGGAAAAACATCGAAGTCTGTAAAATACTATTTAAGATTACAAAGAAAGATTTTGTTTTATTTATATTGAATAAAGACGAGATTACTTGTGATTTTTAATGAACTATTGAAATTTCTTCAGATAAAAATATCTTCGAGCGAGAATATTTATGAAGAATGTGTATATAGGAGGCACTGCACCTAAGCCACGACCGATTACAGCAGAACATTGCTCAATCAATCTCACCGATTTGGCTGATATTTTTATAGTAGTTAGGC